TATGTATGTATGTATGTATGTATGTATGTATGTATGTATGTATGTATGTATGTATGTATGTATGTATAGCCGAGAAAAGTGCCTGCTCCTTTTAGTACATTGTTCTACGGCCACACTGTACTCTTTCGTAAGCTGGCAGAAAAAAGATAGAAGGAAGCGAGTAGAGGTCTCCAACTCTGATTTGTTCTAAATAGTTAGTTCGCTAAATTCTGGCCAGTTTACAGATTCCTTCAAGGGGTGTATTTCTTTGAGTGGATTAATTGAAGCGTAATCACCTCCATCAAGAGTTTCAGGAGCCGACCGCATACCTTCTTGATCCAAAGTGACACTTGGGCTCAGCAATCCACCCTCCATCTAACCTTTGTCAGCTGTTCCCCGACGCCATTGACGACCATTGTCTTATCCGTCCTCAGCTGTTAAGGCGTTTATTCGAGAAGTACTGATGATCTTAGGGCCAATTTACAATGAGGTCAGCGACAAACAAACATTTGCACACCCACAGATCGACAGCTCGAAACCCTCCGCGAGACAATGAGGCGAAGTCGAGCCTATGGTTCGAGCTGGGAATAAGACCGATCCTTTGGTATGCTGAGTTCGGGTTGGGCAGATTCACTCTTAATCAAGCAGACATAAAGTGGGGCCACTTGAGGTGGAATTTAAGACTCGGGCTGACCACGGTTTCGGTTTTGACCGGGCCCCATCAACTTCCTCAGGATTCACTAACTCCAGTTCGGTACCAGCCGAGAGTGTAAAGGCAAGCAGAGGGTGACTAACGAAAGCATTTGATGCCTCGATAGGATTGGAAAAAAATTGAGTATAAGAAGGGAGTTGGTTGGCAGCCGGCAACCTCTTTTTCTTGCTTTAGAATATTTGTGCAAATGTTCGTAAACTACATGACACGCAAAAGCTTAACAAGGAGGCCTCGGAGTTGCTGAAATTGGAGTCGAGTACTTGCTAGCACAATCGAACAGTCCCTACTCCTTCATGGTTTCCGGGGCGGCCAATTCACGAATCCTTTCCAAACAATATTTTACTCGAAATGGAAGGTCCATTCACACCAGCCGAGGATGTTTGCTGAGCTTGGTTGAGAGCCCAGTCCTCTAAAGCTTTAAATTAAGTCAATGCAAATGAGAAGTTTGTGCTGTTAGGCTGAAATAAACCGAATTGTGACGAATGTTCAGTTCAAAGAGAAAGTTGGTCGCAACGATTCCGTGAATTGGTTTCACCAGAAACCAATGAAGGCTTGTCGGATTGTACCAAGATATTCTTGGTTCGCGGTCCGTTGGCTCCGTTGAACGTGTGGCACTGCGGTGAGCGAATTACTTGTTCGCACAATCCAACAGTCTTCAATTCACTCTAAGACAATTCTCCGAATTCAGTCCTTTGAGATTCAATAAATTACTAAAACATTCTTCAATTCTACATACATACACAGGCCAGCTCAATCAGCCATCAAGCTCACTTGGGAATTGGGCTATTCCGGGTGGGAAATTCATATAAAAGTGGTTTGACCCCGTTTTCACAACCTGGTCGCGTTGGCACAGTGACACAATTGAAGGCATCTTGTTCAAATCTCTCTTGTATAGGAGTTATGGTGATAGTTAGTGTAAAGCTCTGGACTCGGTACATTCCCAGACGTTTCCCCGGCATCGGTAGTTGATCGAGCCATTCTCAGCACCCTTCTACGACTAGTCAAGGCGATAAGTTAACATGATCAAGTTGCGCAAATAAGGTCAAGCCACTTCCAGACAACGTAAATGAGTACAATTTGAAGAGTATTACTCGCCTTAAACATTGAGACGCCGGGGCAACTGTCGAGTGCGTCAGAGCCTTCATTTATGTGCGAATATTTACTGGGTTCCAATGAACCTCTTTAGATAGCATTGTTGCTAAAGCCTTCAACACTAAATCAAATAAACGGTCGGGCTCTATCCTTTTTGCCAGATAAGCTCAAGTAAAAACGAAATAATGCCGGTATGGATAGATAGGTGATTATAAAATGGCATGGTCTGTTTTATTTAATATTAAATCAGGGGACTTATTTTCTAATGAGCGCATCCTTGTATGTGTACTTATGCGGATAAAACTAATGCTGGCACAAACACGTGCACACATACATGGGCTCAAACTCAAATCTAATTAACTTGATAGATATAAAGGAGAACTAGCTAAATCATTATATAACTGTCTAACTATGTCGATATATTTCATTTTTAATTGAGTATAACGAGCATGTCTTTTACATTGGTGTTAACTTTTAGGATTAGCAAGAATAACTTTCGGCTCTGACTATGCCCGTCAGGTATAATGGAAGAAGAAAGCTTAGTTCGTCTCCACTCTAGACCAGTGGGGTTATATAAATATAAATATAAATAAATAAATAAATAAATAAATAAATAAATAAATAAATAAATAAATAAATA